AACGTATTTCCCATAATTCAGCTACGCAGATTTCGAAAATAATATTAATTTTTTTTTCTGTCACAAGGATTTTTTTACAAATTGGAAAGAAAATAAATTCTTACTTAGATCAAATTATTATTTGCATTTGTCACAATGAACATTTTTTATTATTTTGGTTGTTAACAAAAATACGAACAAACTGAAGGAAAGAGCAGAACATTAATGTCAAACGAATATGCATCTTCATGCATCCTGATTTTTTGGGTGAAATCTACATCTTTTACTCTCAAAACTACGTTTGTAGTGTTTCTTTTATGTATTGCATTATGACGTTTTGTAAGAAATCTGTACATGATGGAGAAAAATGGATATCATTTTCGGATTCAGCATATAGGAATTATTGTAGAACATGTAAACATTTCAAGACAATAAAACAATCACAGGCCTGTGTTATTATTGAAGTGAAAACTATAAAGTTGATGATATAACCACATTTTCAGACATGTTACCTGTTCATCTACAATCGGCCCGGCGTGGTCAGGTGGTTAGGGTACTCGACTTGCAATCTGCGGGTCGCGGGTTCGAATCCCCGTCACACCAAACATGCTCGCCCTTTCAGCCGTGGGGGCGTTATAATGTGATGGTCAATCCCATTATTCGTTGGTAAAAGAGTAGCCCAAGAGTTGGCGGTTGTTCTGTCACTGCTAAATTAGGGACGGCTAGCGCAGATAGCCCTCGTGTAGCTTTGCGAGAAATTCAAAACAAACAAACAAATCATCTACAATCTACATCAACCTCTGCTGGCTCACTTGCAAAGTATTTGCATGATCATCACAGACGACCTCACTATCCTACCCCTTCTCTAGCAATGCACCCCGAGCAACACCCTCTCTGGTGCCACTTAGTAGACGTCATTGTCTCTACTTCTCCCTCTCCTATCGCGCGAGGCAGCCAGTCAGCTCAAATGTCCAAAGTACCACCCTTACTACTTTTGTATGACAACTATATTATTCACAAACAAACCAACTACAAATATATCTCTTTACTCACTCAGTTATTCTCATGCACACACACACACACACACACTAACACAAATAATTATGTAAATGCACAAGTGATATACATAAGTATACCTACAAACAAGTAAATACAATTAGATAGTTAATTCATTAAATATGTGAATCATTATCACATAAAATAGAAAAGTGAATAAGTTGTACAATACACTAGTATTTAGCATGAGAGTTCTTTGCTTTTCACAGAGTAATGTTTTGTGTTTTCCTACCGCCATAGAGTTTATTGGTGTACAACAGTGAGATATTGTACTAAATGTTCTTTAGTACTACTGTAATTCAGTAAAGCTGTTTGCTAGTTTTTGACCTTCTCAGCTTTTATATAAACCCATACTGTCTCAAGAATGTTCATATCTGGACTTTGCACAGGATAAGTCATGCCTGTAAGAGATCCATCGGCTTCTATACTGTTAAAATGTTGTTTCACCATATTTTTTGTATGTTTGAGATCATTGCTTTGCTGGAAAATGAATTCCCGCCTGATCAATCGTGTTCCTGATGGAATGGCATGGTGGATTTGTCTGTAATTGTCAGAATTCAGGGTGCCATCAATATTGTATAGATCATCGACACCATTAACTTCAATCCTGTACTGGACTCTCACCATGCTTCACTGTATATGTTGCATATAAACTACGAATTATTTCTTCTCTCCACCAATGAACAATTAAAAGTCGGATTCATCTTTAAAAAGTAAGCCTCTCCAGCTTTGCTCATTCCACCATCTTTACACTGATGCCCATTTCAACTACATGGTTTAGTTGCTACTTTTCAGTGTCAGTTCCCGAGACCACGTGGGACCATTTCGTGACAATGTGTATTTTACTGTTTTCGAGATAACATTTACACCTGTATTTACAGCAAGGTTGTTGACAAGATCTCTTCTTGTCTGTTATAATGAACATACTAAGATACTTAGTATCAATTTGAGAGTTTCACATTTCCACTTCTATCATTATTGGCATCAATTTCACATACTTTATTCCGTCTTCCAAGCAGTACCTACAAAAACATGGCATGTGTTATTTCACTCCTGGAATCCATGCTCGAATTCATACTATTACTACTGTGTATAGTAAGACTGTCAGCACCTTCTGGAATTTTTAATGGTGTGACACTTTCTGATCACTTGGATGACAACTAATCACAGTGTAAATTATCAAAACGTGACTTTGATGCATGTCACTTCTATACCATAAAGGAATAGTATTTCCATCATATTTATTATTTTCATATTTTTTCCTCGCTGTTTCCATAATTATTTCCAATACTATATGTTGGGTGTAGGGGTATATATAGGTGTGTGTGTGTATGCTTTTCTACTAATTCTAAATAGATATGTTTTCATAACAGATATCTTTTGTTAAGTATATTATACTTGACTATTAACGTTTATAAATCAAAATGCCAACACTTGAATGTATTAAACAGCAATTAAAGTAACACAAAGCAGTACTTTTTACATGATTATAAATAAAAGTAATCTACAAAATACATTCGTACGTGAAAATACATACCAGAGGCTCTTCCTTGTATGAGACGTAAATAACGTTCTAAAGCTTCAGCAACGTTATTATCTACACATTTTCACTTATGTACTGACGAATAACAGACACGAGGCCAACATGATCAGAGTCTTTACCATTAATTACTTCGTTAACTGTTAGTTCTTCCCACCCAGAATCATCTAGAAAAGAAAATGAAATATTCCACGTCACTAAAACGTCCACATTTAATATGTAATGAAATTATACTTCTTTACAGGGGTGGATTGGCCTACAAGGACATCAGGCAATTGCCAGATGAGCTGGTGCATTTGACACACTCTTAGAAATTAATTTTAAATTTTAAATTATTTAGCCAGTATGAAGCATATGATATTGCACAGCCTGGCTCTTTAATGCCAATCTCCTCGTGCTTCTCCACCAGTCTCAGAAAATCTGGATTTGACGAGATTATTCAAACAGGACATGTCATACAATTACATATTGTGTTTAATTAAAGTTACATAGCACTTGTTTTTTTAATCACCTTTTGATAAATCGAGACACTATTATAAGTGTAAATTATGTTTATACCCCCACTAGATTATACTGTAAATTTTAAGGTATGTCGTATAACATCTGTCAATATTCACCAATCCTGCATTTAAGTATGTCCACGAGGTTGGAACAAGCGGATGGACAAAGTCAAACCAATATGATCCACTTTGCTTTGCAGTGGAGGCATAATTACTGTTCGGGTTTTAATGAATAAGGAAGTTGTTGAAAAGTTATAAATTGAACAAGTATAATTCTCTCATATGTTCTTAATATAATATAGTTCTTGGTAGTCAGATGATGGTTGTTTTAAATTTTATGCAAAGCTACTCGAAGATTAGCCATCCCTAAAATAGCAGTAATATATTAGAGGCTAAAAGGGCGAGCATGTTCAATGATGGGGATTCAGACCCACAACCTACAGATTGCGAGTCGAGTGCCCCAACCATCAGGCCATACATCACACAATTTAACTGTCTCACAGGAAAAGTCCTTCAACAGGAAGTTAAGTAACACCCGACTGAAATTGGAATTTTCAACCTGAGTGATACATTATGCATACACAGGTTAAATGAACAGATCAGAGACCCTAGGGTTCAGATATAGCCATGACTCCTTTTGAACCAATGAGTAGCAGCACCCGCCGCCACAAAGGCTTTTTCAGTCTTATTGAACAGAATAACAGAATTAATAGACAATATCTTGATGTTTCCAGAAATGAAAGTGTTCAGGACATTATACTTCAAAACTTGAACAGTTCAATCAGAAGCCCCACTGCTAGCCATTAGACCACGACTGACGTGGCATTTCTCCTATGTAAAATAATTTATTATATACTTAGCTAGAAGTGAAATCACCAAAATTTAATTAAACCAAATTAATAAAGTGATTGTAGGTTCCACTTTAAGACCATTGTAGTGAATACTAAAAATATACTGGCCATTTTATTAAAACCTTTGCCAACTACGGAAATTTTAGCAGATATAGTAATTTTATTCAAGTTACATGTTTGATTATGGGCTACACACTTAGAAGTGTGGATCTGTAGTAAGTTAACATATGCCAGCTGGGGAATTCAGTAGTAAAGATGACAATATTTAACTTCACGTGAAAAAGATCAATCGGAACAAGACTTGGTGATTGTTGTGAACAACGAATATGACTGAGACTGCTATCATGTTCTTTGAACTGATGTAGGACAATAAAATATTGAAGAATTGTTACATTATAGACTTGGAAGAACCCTTGCCTATCGCCATGAACATTCTGTAATGGCAATAGACAAGATTAACAACAACTAAAACACATTCAGATACACTCTGGATATTACCTGCCTTTATGAAGAAATAACAAAAGACTAAACCTTTACCACAAGAACTTTTCCCACATCATTACATCACCTCCAACAGCTCTGAACTGTGCTTTCATGTTCACATCTGAAATAAGCAGGTTTCTGGTCTTGCTGTCAGCTACATACGACAGCTTTTGTACTTTCCTACACATAGTATGATTGGAGAAAGCAAAGTCCTAATCACTGCTGAAAGAATCAATTAACTGGGATGTAGCTTGATCAGTGGCATACCTTTGTTTTCAAATGTGGGATGAGCGCACAGTTTTTATAGCTAGGATATGTATAAGAATACGTGTGGGGATATGCCCATCTCGTTCCCTGTGAAAATTACGCCTATGCGCCTGACATCTATTGCACCTTCGATGTTGTTCAATCGTTTTAAGGCTCTTCAGTCATCAACGGTTGACGAACACAGTTTTCGTCAATGACAAACATACTCCTATTTGATTGCCGTTCTCAAGACTCTAATGACTTTAACAGTTGGTCAAAGAAAGTGTTTGTGACAGATATTCCTGATGGATGGGTACTTACTCTTGTGTTATATTTAAAGTCAGAGATCATTGCCCTTACTCACTGTCATGTAGAATTACCAGAATACGAGTATGGATTATACATCTGTATTTATAAATTATTTTAACTGTGTGTCGAAGGCGTCTTAGTAAAGTGGCCTTTTATTGTATATTAATTAACTGTTTAGAGCATTCAACACTTTAATACAGCCATTAACAGTTTCAGTTAGTTTAATGTAAGTTTCAAAGATTACAACAATTAATGAAACAGAAGATTCAGCTGTTACTAATTGTTACTTGTTCCGCATGTCAAATAAACACACGAATTGACGAGTCTTGTTCTCCAACATCGAGGCATTTTTTTAACAATTCTACTTGTTAGACCCCGGCATGGCCAGGTGGTTAGGGCGCTCGACTCGCAATCTGAGGGTCGCGGGTTCGAATCCCCGCCCCAAACATGCTCGCCCTTTCAGCCGTGGGGGCGTTATAATGTAACGGTCAATCCCGCTATTC